GGGGTGGTGGGGGTGTCGTCAAGTCAAAAGCGGACAAAGGGGAGGGGGGGTAAAAAATAGCAAAAAAATGGTGGACGTCTTTTATGGATGGCCCCAAAGAGGTTTGCGGTGGGGGTGTTTGTAAAACGATAGGGGGGTGTGGGAAAGGTTATAAGAGCATTCGCTACATGTGCTTACCACTATATGCTACATGTGCTTACCAATAGATGATATATCTGCTTACACATAAAGGCTAATGTGCTTACCAATAGAGAATAACCTGTAAACATTGAAACATACTTCCCCTTTAAAGATCTACAATAAAAGTAAATAATGCATAAAATATTTACACCACCACAATGTCTACTTTGGCGCAGAACTTAAATGGCCTTTTGTGAGGGACGTAAGCAGAATCGCTTGTGGTGGGGGCCTCAGATCGATACAAGGCGAGCGATTTATTTATGATATTTCAATAGTGGCCATTGAACTGTTTGCTTTACTTGTATTTACTCCATCCATCATTACCTATCAATTTTTTAATGTCCAGCCACGCCCACTGGACGCATTACGTCATTTAACACTTTCAGGCCAACTATATGAACAAAAACAAAGACGTCATTTATAGAACTTGCAGGTCTACTAACTCAACCCACACAAAGACGTCATATAGAACTTGCAGGTCTACTAACTCAACACACACAAAGACTTCATATAACGCTTGCATGCCTACTTACTCAACCCACACAAGACTTCATATAACGCTTGCATGCCTACTAACTCAACCCACACAAAACGTCATATAGAACTTGCAGGCCTACTAACTCAACCCACACAAAGACTTCATATAACGCTTGCATGCCTACTAACTCAACCCACACAAAGACGTCATATAGAACTTGCAGGCCTATTAACTCAACCCACACAAAGACGTCATATAGAACTTGCAGGCTAACTAACTGATCCCACACAAAGACGTCATATAACGCTTGCATGCCTACTTACTCAACCCACACAAGACGTCATATAGAACTTGCAGGTCTACTAACTGAACCCACACAAAGACGTCATATAGAACTTGCAGGCCTATTAACTCAACCCACACAAAGACGTCATATAACGCTTGCATGCCTACTAACTCAACCCACACAAAGACGTCATATAACGCTTGCATGCCTACTAACTCAACCCACACAAAGACGTCATATAACGCTTGCATGCCTACTAACTCAACCCACACAAAGACGTCATATAACGCTTGCATGCCTACTAACTCAACCCACACAAAGACGTCATATAACGCTTGCATGCCTACTTACTCAACCCACACAAAGACGTCATATTGAACTTGCAGGCCTACTAACTCAACCCACACAAAGACATCATATACCACTTGCAGGCCTACTAACTTAACCCACACAAGACGTCGTAGAGAACTTGCAGGCCTACTAACTCAACCCACACAAGACGTCATATAGAACTTGCAGGCCTACTAACTTAACCCACACAAGACGTCATAGAGAACTTGCAGGCCTACTAACTCAACCCACACAAGACGTCATATAGAACTTGCAGGCCTACTATCTCAACCCACACATAGACGTCATATAAGACTTGCAGGCCTACTAACTCAACCCACACATAGGCGTCATATAGAATTTGCAGGTCTAACTCAACCCACACAAAGACGTCATATAGAAATTGCAGGTCTACTAACTCAACCCACACAAAGACGTCATATAGAACTTGCAGGTCTACTAACTCAACCCACACAAGACGTCATATAAAACTTGCAGGCCTACTATCTCAACTCACAAATCGACGTCATATAGAACTTGCATGCCTACTAACTCAACCCACACATAGACGTCATATAGAACTTGCAGGTCTAACTCAACCCACACAAAGACGTCATATAGAAATTACAGGCTTACTAACTCAACCGACACAAGACGTCGTGTAACATTATGGTGCGGTGCACGTGCCTATTTGACGTGTTGACAGCAGACCAAAGAGTGTGCTTTGTGAGACTAGCACTGTGTCGATGTGAGGCTAGCACGAGCGTACGCTCTCGCGACTAGTGTGCTATCACTGAACGTGAGGAGCTGGCGTGGCAAAACGGGTGGAAAAAAGACAGGCGCGAAATTAAAAAAGCAAGGCATGCGCTTAATTGGAAATAGGGGTTTAAAAAAAAATGGAGGTTGTGATTTATATCAAACAACTTAAGGGGTGATTTATATCAAACAACTTAAGGGGTGATTTATATCAAACAACTTAAGGGGTGATTTATATCAAACAACTTAAGGGGTGATTTATATCAAACAACTTAAGGGGTGATTTATATCAAACAACTTAAGGGGTGATTTATATCAAACAACTTAAGGGGTGATTTATATCAAACAACTTAAGGGCTGATTTATATCAAACAACTTAAGGGCTGATTTATATCAAACAACTTAAGGGCTGATTTATATCAAACAACTTAAGGGCTGATTTATAAAATCAGGTGTAATAAATTATTGGGGATTTTTTATTTAAAAAACGAACAATTGTATTAATTTAAAATGATAAGACAATATTCGGCTACTTAATCAGTAGTTAAACAATTTCATTATTTTGACTTCCATTACATTTTGAATCATTGTATATAGTGGTGTTTAGTACTGTTTAGTAAACCAACAATAACAACCCCCGGCCTTCTTTATTTTTTTCCAATTCACGCAATGCTTTGTACAAGTTTAGAAACAAAAACAACAACATCACTATGGAAGATGCATAAGTAGCTATCCATAAATTAACCCACGATATTTACGCCCCCCCCCCCTTTTTTCCCCTCTTCAAAATCGTAATGAGTTTGTCAAATAGTTTGACACCCTCATCAAAATGTGACCTCTTTCCCCCCTATCAGCTTAACATCATTCATTGATGGTCCCTTAGAATATAGAGTATATAAATTATATAATATAGTTTTAAACATGAAGCATCACATTTTGATGTGCACCCCATTTTGCACTTGATGCTCTGATAAGCTTTTACAAAAGAACCTGCAATGTTGTCACATGTTAAATTAGCCTATATTATGTTATATTCATTGCTGATACCAAGTTAACTGTGACAAATATCATCATCCGAAAGAAATAAAAAAAAAAAAAAAGCTTTATTAGCTAGTTAGCTTCAAATTAAGATTTTTGTTAAAGAAGGGGAGATAATATGACACTTAGCCTGGTATAACTTACTATAACAATTGTATTCTAAGAGCTATAATATGGTTACTATACCCATGAAATACTGTCAAAATGACATGGTTCAAATTGGAAGTTCAAACCTTCAGTAGTTAAATAAACCAAAACAAATGGGAAATGGTATTTTGCTAGATGACTGAAAGAATTTTTATTCATTTTAAAATGTAATATTAACCATGAAGTTGAAGGCGTTTGTAATGTGAATAAATTAAAACTAATCTAGGCACAAAAAGTCAATTAGCCTTACTCAAGTTAAGCCACTCTTTAGCTTAGAAAATAAGCTCATAAAATAATATTATGACTTTTCTGTTATAGTATAGGTATATCGATTATCATATTCAAATTAAAAAGGCCCTACTAAAGTGCCATAATTTGCTATAATTTAGGTCTTAGTCGTGAAACTAAGGTAAACATTAGATAAATAGAATACATTAAATTCAGCCTGCTGCCTGCTGCTACTGCTGGTTTGATTTTTAAAAAAAAAAAATTTTGAGTAGTATTAGTAGTAGTATCATCATCAATAATTGAGATGTAAAGAGTGAAGAGATTAATTGATGTAATTACATTTAAAAAATACGAGATATAATAAATAAAGCTCAAGTTAGTTAGGATTAGGAAAAACTTTGGCTGGACCGCTTTCACTTTTGAGACTTTTCAGTAATTAATAATTGAAATTTGAAGTTACGCGTGAGTTTGACAATCAACTTCAACAATCGATGGCTTCTAATTCTAACTCTAACTCTTTTAGTTAGCCACTGCCGCCACTACTACTACGTTTACATGCAACATAATTAGTTTTTAAAGACTAAAGTAAAGTATGAGAAAGTTTTCTTAATTTACTCTAAGTCTAAAAAAGTAGTTTTAATTCCTCTGTCCATCTCTAAATAAACTTAGAAACTAAGTCACTCACTCATCACAGTCACAATCACTACAATCACTGGCAGAGACTCAATCTTCTTTTAATTTTTAGCGGTTCATTACACTATAACTATAGCACAACATAATATTGCACTTTTTTAAAATCCACAAATGTAGTATGTTCATGTAACTCTCAATAGCTTATAGCGTTTTTTTAAAATCCAAATAAGAAATTGCCACCAAAACGAACGAAACAATGCCGTCGCAACATCAGCTCTCAGCTGGAACGTGAGTGCATGAAGTGAAAAAACTACACACTGTTTGTTGTGAAAATGGAAGGTATGATTTCCGGATCACTGTTCATGCGCAGCGCAAATGACCTCAGAAATGACGTCATTATTTAAAAGATGGCGACTATCTGATTGTATTTTCTTTGTTTACTGCAATTAAGTTAATAATAATAACTTAACATCTCATGTCACCTCATATAATGTGAATATATGAAAATGGTGGCTTTTAGTTATTAAGTTGCGCATGGTTTATTATTTAAATAAAGCATTAAAATCAGAATAATGCATGTTGCTAGGTAGCAAACTCTACATAATCCTCGACAGTGTCGATAGTCGATAGCAGTCTCCTTTGCAATCCATTCGCCATTCACCATTGTCCATTGCATAGCTGATACTACTGATAGCTGTAGCTGCAAAATTCATAATCATAATAATAGTACTTTTAGTAGCCTATGCCTAAGTCCTGTAAGAGTACTTCACTTCACTAGGAGGGACTAAAAGTGAGTGGCTTATTTCTTCTTCTTATGTCTTATGGTCAATAATTAATTAGACTTAGTTTAGTGTCTTTAAGTTTAAGAGTAAGACTGTCACAAATTTTAATTACTAGTAATTAGTCTTAATACTTTTACTAGACTTAGATTGATGTTACTGATTAGTTACTAGTAGTAGTAAACTAGGTAATCCTCTGAATGCTGATTCTAAATGTCATATAGTATACTTTTTGTTAGAAAGTGACAGGAAACTTAGCGCCATACCATCAATGATTGGTGATGTAATTGTTAACTTCTTTGATGATTCTGAATAAATGGAGCTGTCTTGCAGATTAATTGCTTGTAGTTTGTAGTAATATAAAATTAACAAAATACCGGTACCATGGCCTGCATACCGTACGCACCAGTTCATATAGCAAATAATGCTATAGTTGTTATGTCAAGAAACATTCTGCAAACTTATGACACAAAGCTGAAGTCAGAAGGCACTGTATGATAGCATGCTTTGGTTAGTGTGGCCTGCTGAACACCGACTAATGCAAAACAGCAATGACTGTGGTAACTGTCCACATCCCATTTCTTTACTTCGACTTGCTGAGTCACCTGATGGTTACTCATGGAAATGCCAACTGTGAAATATGAGATGCATCGGGTCATTTTTTTGCACACCAAAAATCATGATGATGATATTCCATTGGGTTTACAAAGTGAAATGCAAGTATATCATGCTTTTTGAAAGCATTGAAAGTTGAGACACCATTGTCAAACTGCAACAACTTTTTCCGAATAGAGCGTCCCAAAAGGTGTCAAGTCCAACTAGTTCATCTTTAAGGCTTCGATGGAACCTATTTACATGAGCTCGACAAAATATATTATTTTCATTGGAAATATGTTCATGGTTGTCTCTGACATGGCTCTTGGGTTGTTGGAATTTTTTAACATGTTAATTGTCAATGTTATTTGGAAATCATAGCGCAAAGAATAATGGAGATGATTGATGACTGTGAACTCTTAGTAATCAAGTATGAGTGCATGGAATTTTGGAGTGATAAAGGGAGACAACGATTTTAGTAAGTACAAAATATCACTTTAGTTTAGTTTTTTCTTGCTATTTTGCAATTAATAAATTGCAAAATAGCAAGAAAATCTAAACTAATGTGATATTTTGTACTTTTTTTCTTCTCTCATCTAATTTTCTAATAAGGAAAAGAAGTTTATTTGTGATAAATTTTGCGGAATGCAAAATTTAACTTGATGGACCGTGACTTCCCATGCCTTATCTATATTAAAGTCTATGATAAAATAAACAATAGATCAATAGGTTTATGCTGAGGGCCTAGAAAATTCAGACTAGTTAAAAAATGTTAATATTTTTAATTTTTAACAAAGTTTTTATTACATAGATTAAAATTCAATTTTTTAGTTTTAATTTCGAGCAATAAAAGCGTACTATTTTATTATTCTTAAACAAAATCTGATTGAATCGGATTGATTTATTTCTAACTAATATAATGTGATGATAGCTGCCAAACTTAGTCAAATACAGTATTCAGGATAATCCTTTGACTTCAGTAATGAGATTACTATATCAAATTGCTACATCAAAATTAGAAAATATTCATGTATTCAGCATGCAGATTGGTATGGTAATGAAAATATTTATTGTATATATTTCAGATATTTAGCTTAACATCATTAAGGAAGAATTCTTAGGTAGCAAAATGAGGACCATCTCCAAGTTTCTGTGCATGGTACTAGTATCTCTTTTTGAGATTACATTATCATCTAGTAAGTATACAATAACATCAGCAAGTCAGTTAATATTGAAAGGCTGTGATTTATATTATTTAAAAAGTAGTATCACCTCATGTTCCAATTAAAATATTCAACATCCCGTTTTTATCACTTCCCACTTATTAGAATATGATAAGATTATCCGTTGGTTACCCTAAAAGTTTCAGGCTTTCAAGATTTGAAATTGTATGACTTTATATTAGTACCGGTATTGACTTGCAATAAAGCCTACTATTTTTTTTTTGTTACAGACGACCAGAGGTGCGCATCAGTGTCTCCAATAGAAAACGGCAGTTATGAACATGAAATAATCACCAATACACTGCACTATTCATGTGATTTAGGCTATCAGCTAGAAGGTTCTAGTAAAATGATATGCATAAATGGCACATGGTCTCCTGCAGATCTGCCCACATGCGTGCAGATCACCCATGACTTTCTCTGTGCGATGGAACCATACATTCCCAATGGAAAATTAGAGTACAATCCTGATGCATCGCTTAGAAGCAAAAGTTCTTTGGGAACTGTCACTTGTGATCCCGGTTTTTCCAGTGATGACACATTTCAGACCAGTTTTGTCATTGTGTGTGGCCCGCATGGAATTTGGACCATGCCAGATGGGAACATTCGACTCACATCATGTACCAGTAAGAAAATTTCACAGTTTATCTCGTAGGGTAATGCTTGTCAAGTCCAAGTCAGAATATTTGAATAATAATTTAAATATCTGGACTAAGTGAGGTATAAATATTTAAGTGATTTTGTAATTGTTTTACCTTTTGGGTTAGTCTTCAGATTCTGGTTCCATTTTTAATGAAGTTTTTATAAAAGTTGTTAATATGCACCTTTAAGAACAGTTTATCAAGTTTGCTTCAGAAACCATAACATGGATAAGTTATAAAGCACATTATATTGTTACGCTATAAAGGTCATAATATGGTTAGTTTATAATGCACATAATATAAGCTTGTAAGCTTGACTAAAAGAAAAAAAGGTTATAGAGCCAGACAAATGCAGCGTGATATTTAGTTTACCACACTATCGCTTCAACAAGGTCATAGTTGTCAAGATTTGTTTCAACATGGTCATATTTGTTAGGATTTATTTCAACATGGTCATATTTGTTAGGATTTGTTTCAACATGGTCATATTTATTAGGATTTATTTCAACATGGTCCTATTTGTTAGGATTTGTTTCAACATGTTCATATTTGTTAGGATTTGTTTCAACATGGTCATATTTGTTAGGATTTGTTTCAACATGGTCATACTTGTTAGGATTTGTTTCAATAAGGTCATACTTGTTAGGATTTGTTTCAACATGGTCATATTTGTTAGGATTTGTTTCAATAGGGTCATAATTGTCAGCATTTGTTTCAACATGGTCATACTTGTTAGGATTTGTTTCAATAGGGTCATAATTGTCAGCATTTGTTTCAACTTGGTGATATAATTTGTTTCTTGCCAATTATCGTTACTTTACCCCAGATTCAGCCCATTGATTCTATTACAGGGAAGTATTGCCCAACACCACCAGATATTCCTAAAGCCTTACGCAGATATGAGCCTTACAGTACAGTCATGTCAGATGGATTTGTAGCAGAGTACATATGCTCCAGTGGCTATTCTCTTGTTGGCTCTGCATCTACAGCCCGACTTGTGTGCCGCAATGGCCAGTGGGAAGGACCTACACCAACTTGTGGTAAATAACATAACAATCTAAAATAGAAGTATTGGTTTTAGTAAATAGCGGTTCAAAATTATTTTTTTATTTAAAGGATGTTACTCATGGAAAGATTGATGGCTATTATTTGTTACAACGTTTTGAATATATCACACATTTTTTGTGGTTATATCACGTCAGTTCCAAGTGCCACAACTATTTTATCCCTTTTTATCTTTTTTTTACCCTCGAAGTTTTAAAGGAAGTGTGTGGCGCACCGTCATACATCCAGTACGGCAACTGGAACTTGATCACCAAGAGTAAGCAAGACATCTCCCTGGCTTATGAACAAGGGGAAGTTAGTTACTCCAAGTATGCAGTGGGGGCTGAGGTAGAGTACACCTGTCAGGCTGGCTACAAGTTGGTAGGCGCAAGAGTCTTACGGTGCCTCTCTAGCCAGGAGTGGTCAAATGCAGCTCCATTATGCATACCTGTCACAGGTATGTTTATGAGCTTAAAGTTGTATTTTGAATATGTAATTTTTACGCTGCACCTGTCTATAACAGTGTTTCTTCCTCCCTGACACCCACTGTCTATCGGGGTGCCCATCATCTGATGGTGTGGGAGGCTCGTTCAGCAGGCCTAGCAATCTTAACTCCCTTACCTAACAACTACTAAATTTTACTGCTATTCTGACATTCTTTTCTTTTTAATGGAATCCAAATGTTTTTATCTGTTTTTTTTAATAAACAAGTTAAAAGAGTTAGAAGTTCAGTGTGGTTTTCGAAGCTCTTGAGAAATCCCTTGCAAGCTTAGTAGAATCTATTTAACAATTGTATTTTTAATCGATGGTTGTTGCAGCAACTGTTGATTTGCTTTTACTTAAGAGTTTTTGTTTTATATAACATGCCATATTATTGATGGGTTGATTTAATTTCTGACCCAGAGCAAACCTGGTACTGCCCTGATGTTGGTCAGATCAAGAATGGCTTCTGTAAATGTATGGGTGAGGATACTGCCGACCTCCTGCTGTGCAGACCATTCCGCCGGGGCATCAAGATTGAGTGCACCTGTCTGCAAGGTTACAAGCTCCAAGGTGTGGATGTCCTTACCTGTACGCACAGCTCCAGCCTTAACATTGGTGTGTGGGACTGGGACCTACCCAGATGTTGTAAGTAGTTAAGTAGGCCATGTCTTAACATTGGTGTGTGGCACTGGTATTTACCCAGATGTTGAAAGTAGTTAAGTAGGCCATGGCTTAACATTGGTGTGTGGGACTGGGATCTACCCATATGTAAATAGGTCAAGGTATAATATTGGTTTGTGGGACTGAGACGTACCCAGATGTTGTAAATAGGTCATGCCTTAACATTGATGTGTGGGATAAGGACCTGTCCAGATGTAAGTAGGTGAAGGCATGGACTGGGACCTACCCAGGTGTTGTAAATAGTTCATAGCTTAGAAGTCAGATGTGAAAAATCTAGGTCCCTGGTATGTTGAAGAAAATCAGGATCTGGTTTATACGATGCCTGTGGGATAATGACGCCAATCACATATGTGAATGGCACAGCAAACATGGACATTAAAAAGCCCTCAGTAAATCTAATTATACCTAGGATGGTATGTTGATAAAATTACTGCTGTGAGGTTAATGTTACATTCAGATTTCTCACCCACTTTCAGATCCTGACAGTGACGTAGACTTGATACCTGATGGCCACAATGATGGGAAGTCATACAGTTCTGGAGACATAAGTGATGGGAAAAACAAGGTAGGGTGGGGGAGGAGAACAATGTACGGTGGGGAGAAAGTGCATCAATATTTTCAAAACTCAGCAATACCATAAAACAAATCATCGTGTGGCACCTCGGGTAGACAGAACATGTCAACATCAGGTTTGGCTCATCTCATTGAGGATATCTTTTGACTACAACCCTCCCCTGTTTTGCTGCTGAAATCCACAAAGTTCAATGCTGCGGGAGCAATCCCTGACACAGAGATTCAGAGATTGAGTCACTTAGAGTTTGTGACATAAGTCTCAATGAAATTGATGCAGCTCATGCAAGGCCTCTTGTACCAAGCAGTGTCTACCATTTACTGTGTTCTTGGGGCAACCAGCTGTGGGGAGAGGGGGAATCTGTTGACTGGGAAACGGCTGATTCTGCATAAAAACACTTCTCAGGAAGCGACTGAAGCCAATATTGCAAATTAGCAAGGGAAACTTCTCTCTGAGAGCGACACAGGCCAATGTTGTAAATTAGCAAGGGTACATTTGAGAGTGATGGAGACCTATGTTGTAAATTAGTATGGGTAAACTTCTCACAGAGAGTGACGGAGACCTATGTTGTAAATTAGTATGGCTAAACTTCTCACAGAGAGTGACAGAGACCTATGTTGTAAATTAGTATGGGTTGTTTGTAATTCAGCATTGTATGTTGAAATGGAAAGTTGTGTTTACTTGAACAATGTATGAATATCTTTACTCCAGGAGTCATCTCTTGTAATTGTGGTGACTACAGCTTGCAGTGTTCTTGGCGTCCTGCTCCTCATAATGGTCATAGTGGTCATCAGAAGAAAGAAGCCCAGGGCCCATCTGTTCCAACAAGGCCCCACCCCTCCTCCATATGCAAGAGTACATAATAATTCATTAGGTAAGTCCCAGTCTGTCCAATGTCAAAGTAGGTTTAGGTAAGTCGTTGCCTGTCCATTGTCAAAGAAGGTTTAGGTAAGTCCCTCCCTGTCCAATGTCACCGTAGGTTTAGGTAAGTCCCTCCCTGTCCAATGTCAAAGTAGGTAACTTGTGTCCCAGTCTGTGAAGAGAATAAATTAGACTTGTCTCATAGATATGTTCTATTTATATTTATAACTGTCTAAAGTTCCCTACATATGTTTGATGTCCACGTTATATTTTTTTTTTCTTTTTGCTAATTTTTATGTGAAGCGCAGTGAGCTTAGCCCAATGGTTGGCAAATCACAGCCAGCTGAATGCGGCTCGGCCAATTAGCCACAAATCGGTTTTGACTCCCAAAATCATGGTTCTTGACAGGTTCTTGAAAAGAAATTTGGCGCTCAAATTTGTTAAAATCATCCTAATGCTGATTTTTGGCTCTTTTGACAAATGAGTTTTCCAACCACTGGCTTAGCCCTAGGCTGGGGTACCGCACTATATAAGACCACTTTAATTAATAATAAGAATATGTCTAATGCCCACTATATGTGTCCAATGTCCACTACGTCTGTTTAATGTCCACCATATCACTACATTTGTGAAGTGCTGGTAACCCAATGTTTGCGGTTTGTTTCCAACCAGATGAACATGACAGAATGGCCCTGATGGCCTACGCCAATGCCTCTGGTATCCACCTCCCATCTTATGAAGAAGCTGTGAGGCCTGGCGGCGCAAACACACCCTTGGGTGTTGGGGCTCCGGGCCTGGGCCACGCCGCCAGCCCCACCGGCTCCGAGTACCACAGACTCCACCAAGCTGCCACCAGGACGACCAATCTCCACCAGCAGAACGTCGGTGGCGATGGCAACAACAACATAAACAACAACAATAATAACAATAGCAACCGTCACTCAACCGTTACCACCAGCACCATGAATCGTGACGGTGTGTCTGAAATGTTTGGCTCAATGGATACTGTCAATGTCAGTATGAGTGACGCTTCCACCTCTGTCACAGTGGAGACGTTTGACTCGGGCACATCCACAAGATCTATGGCATCCCAGAGGGCAACTGCAGGCAGTTTGAACTCATCAGATGACCAGCTGGCAAACGTAAATGATGGTAAAAAACTTTATTTTTTTGGTCAAAAGAGACTATTGTAGGCATGTTTGACAGTGAAGTTATTATAGAGACTATTGTAGGCATGTTTGACAGTGAAGTTATTATAGAGACTATTGCAGACATGTTTGACAGTGAAGTTATTATAGAGACTATTGTAGACATGTTTGACAGTGAAGTTATTATAGAGACTATTGCAGACATGTTTGACAGTGAAGTTATTATAGAGACTATTGTAGACATGTTTGACAGTGAAGTTATTATAGAGACTATTGTAGACATGTTTGACAGTGAAGTTATTAAAGAGACTATTGCAGGCATGTTTGACAGTGAAGTTATTATAGAGACTATTGTAGACATGTTTGACAGTGAAGTTATTAAAGAGACTATTGCAGGCATGTTTGACAGTGAAGTTATTATAGAGACTATTGCAGACATGTTTGACAGTGAAGTTATTATAGAGACTATTGTAGACATGTTTGACAGTGAAGTTATTAAAGAGACTATTGCAGACATGTTTGACAGTGAAGTTATTATAGAGACTATTGTGAAGTGGCAGTGAAGTGATGAAAATTCTGTTTATATTTGACACTTTCCTTTTTTTCTGTGCACAGATGCCCCTCTATTAGACTCCAGTTCTCAAAGAGAGATGGATGTGGTCAGTATGAGTTCCAATCCTAGTCGGTCAAGCAAAGAAGATCCATGAGGTCATATGACCTTAATGAACTTTATTTCTAGTGGCCATCAGACACTTGATGGACATTTAGTAGGTACACAGTGTTTGAGCGGAAATTCAATAAGGACACAGTGTTAGTGTGGAAATTAAATAGGGACAAAGTTGAGGGGAAATTAAACAGGGATACAGTGTTAGAGTGGAAATTCAATAGGGACACAATGTTAGAGAATTTTTGTACAGTTGATGATTGCAGCCAGTACAAGTTATTTCAGAAGCCAGATTTATTGCTGTGCCCACTTGCATCCATGGACGGTTGTGCCCACTTGCATCCATGGATGGATTTAATTTTTAGCACGCATTGCCAAATTATTTATCCCAAACAGTTTTAATTTTAATGCAGTGGCCTCATATTTTAAGATGGGCATTGCGTGTGAACATGTAAGAAAGGAAGGAAGCTCAAAATTCCTGCAGCTTTTACAAAGTTGACGGCTGTGTCCCATTTAAGAATGTTCCACACCTCTAGAGCTTACAAAACGTAACTATCTTAGATGTGTATGCAATGTGTTTCTAATGTTTTGAACGAACAGCTGATCAGCGTTTGAAACATGTCAGTGTTGCACTGTAGTCAACACTACAACAGACTATTAGTTTTGGCTGTGGTCACCAGTACAACAAACTAGGCCGTGATATCTATATCATTTGCTGAACTCTTTTTTTTTATCCTGGCTGTGAAAATTAATTAACCACCTGAGTTGACTACTTACAGATTGTGAACAATAATTAACTACCTGGGTTGACAACCTACAGAATCTGAACATATAATGTACATGTTATCATGATATGTTTATGTAATACACACTTATAATAAGATTAATTCATCTAGAAACAAAGCTGTCAGGCTAGCCACAGAAGTAACTCTGGCAAAGTTTGTAAAGAACAAAAAATGGTCAGACCGTTGAGTCATGATTTTAAATTGTGGTACTCATTGAAACAGAGATGTATCTCATGGGTCCAAACGCCCTCCACATACCTGTGTTGTTTCATTCCACAAATAATGCTAGGTAAACAAATAGTGGCGTAACATGTGATTTTTTTTTTTTACTGCAGCCTGTGTGAGAAATGATAGATTTTCTATTTGGTTAAGTGTTAGAGAAATTTGAGTTGATTATGTTTGGACAGCCTTAGCGTAGTGGTAAAACTGGAGTTGATCCTGTCTGGACAGGTGTAGGGTAGTGGTAAAACTGGAGTTGATCATGTCTGGACAGGTGTAGGGTAGTGGTAAAACTGGAGTTGGTCATATCTGGACAGGTGTAGGGTAGTGGTAAAATTGAAGCTGATTATGTTTGGAGAGCCATAGAGTAGTGGTAAAACTTGACCTGATTATGTTTGGACAGCCATAGAGTAGTGGTAAAACTGGAGCTGATTATGTTTGAACAGCCGTAGAGTAGTGGTAAAACTGGAGCTGATTTTGTTTGGACAGCCGTAGGGTAGTGGTAAAACTGGAGCTGATTATGTCTGGACAGCCGTAGGGTAGTGGTAAAACTGGAGCTGATTTTGTTTGGACAGCCGTAGAGTAGTGGTAAAACTGGAGTTGATTATGTCTGGACAGCCGTAGGGTAGTGGTAAAACTGGAGCTGATTTTGTTTGGACAGCCGTAGAGTAGTGGTAAAACTGGAGCTGATTATGTCTGGACAGCCGTAGAGTAGTGGTAAAATGGAGCTGATTTTGTTTGGACAGCCGTAGAGTAGTGGTAAAACTGGAGCTGATTATGTCTAGACAGCCGTAGGGTAGTGGTAAAACTGGAGTTGATCATGTCTGGACAGGTGTAGAGTAGTGGTAAAACTGGAGTTGATTATGTCTTGGACAGCCTTAGGGTTGTGGTAAAACTGGAGTTGATCATGTCTGGACAGGTGTAGAGTAGTGATAAAACTGGAGTTGGTCATATCTGGACAGGTGTAGGGTTGTGGTAAAACTGGAATTGATCATGTCTGGACAGGTGTAGAGTAGTGATAAAACTGGAGTTGGTCATATCTGGACAGGTGTAGGGTTGTGGTAAAACTGGAGTTGATCATGTCTGGACAGGTTAATTAACTTGTGGTAGTGGTAAATAAGTAGCACATGGAAAAGCAAAAGGTCATGCACCAATAAACACAAGTGAACAAAACAATAACTGATCTGATGCTGTGGATGGTGCAAGAAAAATGTTTCAAATGTTTCATGTGCAAGTTGCCAGAAATAGTGTTACGCCTGTTGGTGACTTAGAGATGCTACAAGAATTACAAAGCAGACACTGAGAGCCATTGACACAAGTCCTCAAGTAGAAAATACTGAACTGTTTGTTTCTTTTCCTTCCCAGGTTGTATTTTTGTCCGGTTTTTTTATTGTGGAAATCAATCGCATCAGTTGAGTCTTTCCAGTGTGAGCATCTGGTACATCTTGTCTTGAGACCTGGGCATCCGGTAATCTTGTCTTGAAACCTGGGCATCCGGTACATCTTTCCTTTAGACCTAGGCATCCAGTACATCTTTCCTTTAGACCTGGGTATCCGGTACATCTTTCCTTTAGACCTAGGCATCACATGTTTGAAAAAATAACAGCAACAACTTCTTTGGTTAAATGTCTGAAATGATTTTCTCCTTATTTATAGCTGCATTGCAGATCTGAGGTTTACCTTTATCGGGGAATGAAATGTGGGACCATGCTATTCTGAGAAACAAACATTTATTAGTAATGCAGACCTGTTTACCCTCAAACTCTTAAAATCGTACAATATCATCACAAAATCAATCAATACATTATCTTAATAGTAAACTAAACATCAGTATATATAATGTATACACCTCAAATCGTACATTGTACGCCAAAATCGTACGAGTAAACAGGTCTGGTAATGAATCACTTCATTTCTCAGCCAACAGTAATAGAGGTGTAAAATTTAGCCATAATAATGCTGGTGGAAAATTTAACCATAATAATGTTGGTATAAAATTTAACCATAATGATGTTGATTTGATTTCAGAGCCATAACATCAGTGCTGGTGTAAAATTTAACCATAATAATGTTGGTGCAAAATTTAGCCATAACGATGTTGATTTTATTTCAGAACCATATTTTTGTTTAGTGTGGCACAAGCAAATGAATTGATTTACTGTGGTTCCTACCAAAGTGATGTACAAGATTAATCTCTAATATTTGTTGTGACTATTTATCTTACAACATTGGAACGGATGATTTTTTTGTTTGAAGTAGTGTGGTGAGATAAATGACCATTGAACAATTCAGCTTCTGATTGTTGTATTTCTGTCTCTACTTGTCTGGGGTTGTGTCCGAGGGCTGTATCAGAGGGTTGTCAGAGGTTGTGCCCGAGGGCTGCGTCGTATGGTTGTGTCCGAGGGCTGCATCAGAGGGTTGTCAGTGGTTGTGTCCAAGGGCTGCGCAGAGGGTTGTCAGGGGTTGTGTCCAAGGGCTGCGTCAGAGAGTTGTCAGGGGTTGTGTCCGAGGGTTGTGTCCAAGAATGCGTCAGAGGTTGTGTCCGAGGGCTGCGTCAGAGGGTTGTCAGGCCTTTCTATAACAATTGTTTGTAGTGAGGATTTTATTCTTAATGTTTAAATCAATTTTGTATTGCAAGCATCATAGAGATGAGATTGCAGGCATGGAATAGTGGCCATGAGATAGATAGTATCTGTTACTTACACATGAAATCAACAGGTCTGTTTGCTTGCCACACAACAAGCCAAAGCCACACAACACTTGCTCTGAGAAAGCCATAGATTTCTGTCATGTACTACCACTCATTTTTTTTCCCCCGTCTATTTTTAGCTTTCAAAGATGTTTGGCTGACAACTCTAACCCCATTTCTTGTTCCTTCACCTCTGATATTATTGGTGTACATATTGGAAAGATTTATGACCTGAATTTTTGTGAGGTTTCGTTATTTGTTAATAACTGTTAGCATCACTCAAATCAATCTTGATTCTGGTATGCAGTGAAATCTTTATGTGTGTCCATGCTCTATGAGGGTGTGTCCATGCTGTATACGAGTGTGTCCATGCTGTATACGAGTGTGTCCATGTGTGTGACTGGCCATGATGTATGAGTGTGTAAATGCTGCATGAGGGTGTGTCCATGCTGTATGTGAGTGTTTCCATGCTGCATGAGGGTGTGTCCATGCTGTATGTCAGTGGGTCCATGCTGTATGAGAGTGTGTTCATGTGTGTGACTGTGTCCATGCTGTATGAGTGTGTCCATGCTGTATGAGTGTGTACATGCCGTATATGACTGTGTCCATGTTGTATGAGGGTGTGTCCATGTTGTATGTGGGTGTGGCCATGCTGTATTTGGGAGTGGCCATGTTGTATGTCAGTGTGTCCATGTTGCATGTCAGTGTGTCCATACTGTATGTCCATGTGCCCATGCTGTGGGCAAAAATCAAAAGGACAAAAATTCATATTCCTTTCATTCGGTTGAACAACTTATGCACATCAAACATGTCAAATATACACTACCTTTTGACATTCATTCAATTTTTGTTTGTATATGTATGATTAAGTATGTGAATGGTTTTAGTATTAGTAACATAATTTATAGAATTATTAGAATGTGAATGATTTTTGTATCATTTTCTATTGAATGCATGAGAATGTCAACAGTTTAAGTAGCAACTGAGAATATGAATGAGTTTTTTTTAAAGAATTATGTGTTTAATGTATGAGACAAGACCAGCAAATCTATAGGGCTAATGTGACACATTCTTGTCCTATAAAAGCTACAAATAAACTTGTTAAATTTACCAATTTTTTTTACTTTTAATGCTACATTTTATATTGAGATTTCCGATCTGTTTAAGTGTGGAAGAATGTATAATATCACATAAAAATTCAAAGATAGAAAGATAAGTGTATCACATTCACAATTCAAAGATAGAAAGATAAGTGTATCACATTCACAATTCAAAGATAGAATGACCAGTGTATATCATTCACATTTCAAAGATAGAAAGCCAAGTGTATCACATTCACAATTCAAAGATAAAAAGACAAGTGAATCACATTCACAATTCAAAGATAGAAAGCCAAATGTATCACATTCACAATTCAAAGATAGAAAGCCAAGTGTATCACATTCACAATTCAAAGGTAGAAAACAAAGTGTATCTGGTGGCCAACCCTGCCACTTTAAATATTGTGGCCTGCCAGAAGTATCACAAATGATCTTATTTCTTCATTCAATTAGCTATTGCTTTCATTCTTTCAATTTAGATATATATCCACATCACTTTTTTGTGAAGGTATTTGCCATTAATATAAGACTTAATATAAGTATAAAACTTAATATAAGACTTAATATAAGACTTAAATAAGATTTAATATAAGGCTTCTTAAAATTTAATATAAGACTCAATGGCATGTGGTCCTCAAATAATTGACTCAAAATGGCAGGTGAGGCCATCTGGGTTGGCTACCCCTGACCTTCACAATACAAAAATAGAAAAATAAGTGTATCACTTTCACAATTCAAAGATAGAATGAAAAAAAAAAGAGTAAAATATTTATTAATGAAAAACATCCTTTCCACTTAGATTTCAATAGCATTAAAAAGTGCTGACCTACAAATACAAAAGAAATAGCCTGCAACAGCACTATTAATTAATAAAATAAAACTTCAACTTTAATTATAGTGCACCAATTACAACACAATGTAATGTAGCCCTTTAACTCATGCACCTTTATGCATATGTTATCATTTCTGATCAGTGCGAGTTCACGAAACTCAAAGAGTCAAGTCTGCTTGGAATATATTTAAACTTTATTAAGACTCGTACATTTGGTAAGTTCTAAATTCAAAACAATTGCTAAATTCCACATTCAAACACAACGGTTAACGATTTGGTATTAGGAGACAATGATCTATTTTTTCCACCTGCTGACCTGGCTTTCTTACTTTTGTCTGCTAATCAGGTAAGCCCGACTTGTGTTCTTCTCTCCATGCATCTCGTGCATGTCAGGACCATGAAGTCAAACGTTCATAGACCGTAGCATGACACTACTACCAATTAACAGCACCTCAATTATAACACCCTAATAACAACACACCAATTGTGACACTCCAATAATAGTACACATGTCCCATTAGTAATACTTTGTTGAGTGTGGATGTGGCTAAACACCTTGGTTGTACTGTTGATTGACTTGACTGGTGTTTGTCTGATGTAAGTTTTGTTCCAAGAAATCAAGAATTCTAGGCCAGCTGTCCTCCTGGGCGTGGGCATGCTGCTTGTCATTACCTCCCCAGAGCATATTCATTTCTGAAATCAAGTCAAACATTTCATTATGGGGCTCACAGTCTAGTGAAGGGGATATTAGATTTGTTTAAGTTTCATAAGGGTTGAACAAAATATAATTAAAAGTCGGTTGAGTTCACCTGTATTTGCTTTTGAAACTAAGAATAACAGGGATTGCTGTAATTCCTAATGACAGGAGCCTTCAACTGTACTAACATGAAACTAAGATTTTCATGACAGGAATCTAAAACTATAATGACAGTAATCTAAGACTGTAATTGACGTCCTGAAGTAATGGAGATAATTTCATTAAATTCATGGGAAATAGCAATCCTGAAAGTTCAACAAGGTCAGAGATTTGCATCCCACCACCTCTGCGAAATCTACTGGCATCACCTACAGCAGTAACCCTTATAATACGATGTTAGATTAACTCTTTTGGTCCCATCATGCTTTCCACCTCACGTTGTACCAGGGTGAGATGTGAGTAGCAGGTGTAGAATCCAAGCCAATAAAGGGGCAGATTACCCTATGCACAGCTTCCTTAAGGGTGGGGGTTGCCTCAAGGAAAGCTCTAAATTAACTTTCCTTTCTGCCCCTAAATTTGACTGGTGGAAAATCAAAATAATCTATCAAAAATTGTACTGCTACTGCTTATTTCTACTGATACATTTTCATAAAGTTTTAATACAAAATTTCTGTATTTAATCTTTAAAATTTCCTAAATCTCAGAACCAAATATTTTATTAAAACTTCCCCATCAACAAACTTACTCAATATTTTGTTAAAACTTGTCCCACATCTCGGAGCATATGGCGGTTCCAGTAGATGTCCAGTTCCAGGATATGATATCCAGGTTAAGTTATTTTTGAACTCTTCCGGTAGATTTTTCTTAAAAGCATCCAGAGCTATTGGGTTCACACACTGGTCATCCAATCCATGGATGGCAAATATCTTTGCACCATGTTGCCATCCCTGGAAAATCAAGACATATTTCATTGCCACTTTTTATGACCAAATACATGTTTTAGGGTCACTCCTATGGGTCTCTTCCCACTTCCCAGATATGACTGAATGTCTCCAGACATACCCTGAACAAATGTTGTCAATTTTTTATCTACTTACTGGACAGGAAGAGGGGATAGGCCTATCCCCAGGCTGAATCATGTCTCTGAAGATGACCAGATCATCAATATATTTGACACGGTCAAATTTAAAACTGAGCACCTCTGCTTCTTTTCCCTCCACTAGTTGTTTACTAGCAATAGGCATCCCTGTACCATTGACAGTCACTAAGCATTTCATCTGTTCATAAAGTATTAGAGTTTGTAAAATCCTGCACTAGAAATTAACACACTTTTATTTGTATTGTTTTTTTCTCTAATTTTTTACAAATATTTTTGTTAAAATTTGAATTGAGATACATATGTATATGAGTGATTAGTCTGGTTAGCTCCTGCATAGAGTTAAATCTTCAAATTTATATGAAAGTTTGAGATAACTCACAGAAGGTCTCCTGGATGCAATAAACTGAAGGTAACCACCACCAACACAAGTAGCAATGCCACCGAGCTTGTTGGGATCAACTGATGGATGAGATGCCATCCAATCAAATGCTCTCTACAATATATTTTTTAATTGATTCATCTTCAACACTATAATATAATAACAAAAGCATTGTGGACTAGTCTTTGTATTAATTATTATGAACATAACCATAAACCAAAACCCCAGTAGTTAAAGATATGCCATAATTACTGCATAACTATCAACAAAAAGTTGACAATAAGTGAAAAAAATAATATACAAACATTTATTTGACAAAAGTAGCTTATAATTAGCAAGACATATTTTTCATTAATTTTTGTATTTACTATTAATTCATGAATTCAACTCATCAGAAACACAAAAAAGGTCCAAATCACCAGAAAGTAGTGAAGGTTCAAATCCAGTTCATTCCTGGATAGGCCAGGGAGACCAACATAACCAAGCACAAAAGATGCAAAGCCATGAGATGCCAGTAAAGCTGATCGGAATTCAACAATCCCACCACCAAGTCCAAACAGGTCAATTACTCCTGGGAATGGCCCATTTCCTGCAGGAACAGACACTATTTTTTTATTTAATGTACATTATAATATTCTGATTTAAAAAAATGTTATACAGCCATCTAAATGTGCTTCTGGCTAATTGGGATCAGATATCTGACAATCTGATAAATTATAGTAAAATATATATTCAATGGCCACTATTGGCACCAATTACTGACTGCTGGTCTATTAAACTATTTAATTAGAATCTTAAATCACCCACATCAATATGATGCTAAGATAAGACTCCAATACTCTTTCATTTACAGTGTAATTTACAGTGTAATTTACATTGTAATTTACAGTGTAAATTCTTCTAACCTAGTGGAGTGTAAAATGTTCCTTGAAGTCCATTCTCATTAATTGAGAACCTTTGAACTCCAGGTAAAACATAGGAGCGTTGTAGCTGACATGATGTAAGACAAGGGAAATTTTCTGACCAAGGCAGACTGTCAAATTCTTTAAAATCATCTTGTACAGCTATGGTCACATCATATGGGGACATAACATCTGTCTTTAACAATCTGCCAGGTTTAACTCCGGGAGTTGTTCGGGCACTCCAGAACAATCCCATTGGCTCTAAACCTTGAAGTTTGGGATTAAATAAAACATAAAAATAATTCTATTGGCTTTCAACCAGGCAAAAATAAATCAAACACTCTATTAATATTTTTCAAAATATAACAATTAGCTAAATTTAAATGACATTATAAAAAGTGAGAACAATTAATTAGATTACTGGGAATGGCTTGTGAGTCCTTAAAGAGAATTCAAGTACCTATTTTTTCTTAGAAATCTTTTGGACTTGCATAGTCAATATGTCTCTTCAGGTTATCAAGTTACAATAAGTGGATGTTGATTAAATAATATTTAAGTGAATATCATAATTATAACCCTAATTTTACAAGTGAATATCATCATTATAACCATAATTTTACCAATGAATAGTATCATTATAATCATAATTTTACCAGTGAATGTTCCCCCCTGAGAATGATCTCTACAAGTGTCCACATTCCCCTGACAGTCAGCTGTAAAATGAGCACAAGATCCAAATGTTTTGTCACCTTCTTTCATGTAGGTTTGTATTGTTATCTTCTGTCCTTGTTTCAATCCATTGACTCTAATGTTGACTTCTTCATCAATTAAAACTGGACTTTTGGACACTTTTATTTCAAGACATGATGTGGATAAGTTATATTTATTAATCTGATACTGACTGACCTAAAATGAGAAATTAAAGATGAAAAAATGCATTCAATTTGAAATAGGAATTGAATATTAAATTGTTGTCACCAGAGATAAAATAATTGACTTAATTTATTTTTATGTTTACGTAATAGGTCTATATTTATTAAAATATTTTTTCTACATATTGGAAATTTAACGCTTAATCATTTTATTTAAAAATTTGTGGGTTTTTTGGTTTATATATTTTTAAAAAATAGATCAGATTTCGTTTAAGATTTCTTTAAGTAAAATGAATGTACTTGCTTTGTTCAGGTGAAGTAAGTTTAAAAGACGCCGCCTTGCTATCATGTTTATTGGGAGTCTGTAAGCCAAAAGGTTTTGTATTTACAGTTACATTCAATGTTATATTTTAATTCATAATGATAATCATTCCTATTTCAATATGCACACACCAGAAAGTGGTAAAAGGTTCACTTGAATACCCACTAGATAGCTTGCAATAGTTTATAAAATATATAAAACTGAAAAATTTAAAAGTGGACCTATGTTGGGTGGTTTATCTTACTTATAGGCCCCTCAGTGCCATGGGGGAAAAAAAAAGAGGCTTGTGGGTGAAATGGTGGGGTGAAGTGTGCAGCCATTGGGGTGCCAATATCAGTGGGGAACAAAAATTGTCAATCATCCACATATAGACCTCTCTCATATATGTTGTCATATATGTTGTCAATGACAATGATTGATGAAACAGGGTTGGAGGGGGGGTGGCTACCATATTTAGGCTAGCTCCAGGCTCAGTTTTTCAATTACATGACCTACTGTAGGGTATTTAATATATCCAACCAGGGTTTCTTTCAGCTATATCTCCGGGGAAAGCCAAATGCCCCCCCCCCCCTCTCCGAACAAAAATATGTCCAACAATAAATCANCCCCCCCCCCCCCCCCCCGTGCCGTGGAAAATTTCTGAAAGAAATACTGTATCCAACGATGACCATTGCCATTGCTTTATGAATATGGACCTTATGTATGACCATTGACCAATGACCATTGTCATGGGTAGGCCTATATATTCTATCTGATGACATTTTCTTGGGATCCTATTCATAAACAAACAACCTTTGAAATTTGTAAAGTAAAGTTTCTAATTCTAACCCTCTAAAATTTAGAATTAGAACAGATAAAATTATTATATCGTAATAATAATTATATACCATTACTACTGTATTTTAAAAAAAAATTAATTAGACTTTTTAATAAGGCTATGGTTATGAAAAAATAAAATTATTTATCACTTAGCAAGCGCAAACGGTACATCAAATAAAAGAGATCACTAATGACACTAATGTCTAATGTCACTAATGACGAATACACACAAGTAGGTAGGCCTAATTGATATTTGTCCTTGTGACTTAGAGTATTAAAATCAAAATAGCACACTTTTAATTTAATTTTTTTTTGTCACCGGTAATGTTTTCGATCATCAAATTTGCTTTATAATATTATTTTGATTAATTACGCTCTTAGTAAGTTATTCATTTATTCATAAAACTTTGTTAATGGTCTCCAACTTGACCTCTGAACTCTTATAAGGTAAGAAAGGTTTAAATAAAAAATTTAAAGGGATACGACTATTACTATTTATGTAATGCAAAAAATATTTTTGACCTCCCTTGGATTAAAAAAAGTATTTGTGACATCCCTTGGACATCAAATGAAAAATGTTCGCCCCCATTTGGCTAATGATGTTGACGTCTGGGTTCTTGCTGCAAATTTCTTTTATCCTTGCTGCTGAAATGGTCATTTGCTCCTCATCATCGGACGACTGCTCTTCCTTTAAAGTCTTTAGAGTTTCTTTCTGAAGACCCACAAGCTCATCTGTAGTGAGCTGTCCCCAGTGGTCCCCAATCAGCTCTTCCTCGTTTGTACTGTACGCGATTGTTTGTCTCCAATGTTAAACCTTTCTCTCTTTCTCTCTCTCGTTCTATTTGTAACCCGAGGCACTGTTCGTTACCCGAGACGATTAATTTTCTAAGTTTGTATTCGTAACCTTAGACGTTCGTGACCTGAGGCGTTCGTAACCCGAGGTACCACACTATTTATTTGGCTAGTTCAACTATTTAGTCTTAAATGTAAATGATTTTGTTTACCAACCTTAAAAGCTTACTAATAATTTGTTTTTGCTAATGATTTAGTTTAATTTTTTTTTTTCAATCAAATGCTGCACACCAATCTTTTACTTTGCTTTACTTATATACTATATGGCACTGGTCCCCAACCTTTCTTGAGTCGCACCCCAAAATTATATAAGCAAAAAAGAACTCACAGAAAATAAAGCTTGAACGCATATGGGTTGGGAACCTGTGCTTTATGGTAATATGGGTTGTAGAAAAAGAGGCAGCAGCTATTATTCGACAAAACGTTCTGGCAAACCGTCTATATTGCCAGTTGGGAAAGGTCTTTTCATAATTTAAAACTGATTCATGAGAGACTCTGTGGGTCAAGACAGATTGTGTGATCTTGCTTTATTAAGGGTGGAACTAGAAGAAGCAGAAAGAACAGAATTCAAAATAAACTCGACCAGTGTCATTGACCAGTTCTATTCAGTGAAGGCAAAACAGGTCAGACTTAAATGTCTGGTGTAAGGTTTCTCAACTTTGAATCACAGGGGCTGTTGCAAACTTACAAAAGTTGAGAACCTCTTACTACTACTACTGCACCATTGTTTAGTGTCTAGCACTCAGATCATTGTCACAACACATAAACCTCCTCGTATGTTCATTGACATTCAACCAATCACATCTAGCACTCAGATCATTGTCCCAACACATAAACCTCCTCGTATGTTCATTGACATTCAACCAATCACATCTAGCACTCAGATCATTGTCCCAACACATAAACCTCCTCGTATGTTCATTGACATTCAACCAATCACATCTAGCACTCAGACCATTGTCCCAACACATAAACCTCCTCATATGTTCATTGACATTCAACCAACTCAGCTTAGGACATTGCTTTAAATGTATAGAAAATTTGACATTATCAAATGGTGTTTTTTTTTTTTTATAATAGGTTATAGTTTTAAATTCTTTACTATATTTTTTAAGTGGTTTTTCAAAATTGTTATAACCATAAGACCTTATTATAAATAATATGTTATATTGAAAAATATATTTTTTTCTATTAAATCACAGGTCATAAAATAAGCTTTTGGGGGCAGCATTGGGGATGCAGCCCACATGTTAGACAGCATGCTATGTATGTACTGGTACAAGATTTCCTTTTTCTGTTTGTTAAAACTAAGTTGAATAAATGATCACTAGGGAAATAAAATGCTTTTTATGAATAAGATTTCCTTTTTTCTTTTTATTAAAATTAAGTTGAATGAATAAACACTAGAGAAATGAAGTGCCATGTGACATAGAGTAGAATTTGAATGTCTTGTCTGAACATGTTTTTTTTTTTTAAACTTTAGTTTTTGTGATTTGGTGGATTTGTGAATGAGCTGAATGTAAATAAATAAATTGAAATCTAAAATTAAATTAGAGAAACAGTCAAGGATGTAGTACTGCTTTTTAAAGGATAAAAAAAAGAACAAGCTAAACCATAGACTTTGCTGAAGTCTAAACCCTGGACTGGGCTGAAGTCTAGAGCCCAGAGGCGTAGCGAGGAGGGGGGCAGGGGGGGACAGATGTCCCCAGGCACCAGCTAGTTAGGGCCGCCAAAATGTGCTTTGATATTATTTTATTGATGAAAATAATGGGCTTGAGAGTTGAAAAAAAAGAAAAAGGGGCGCTTTAAAATGGGTCTTGTCCCCGTGTGCCAAACACCCTCGCTACGCCTCTGCTAGAACCTAGACTGCACTGAAGTCTACTGTGCTGATGTCTAAATCCTAGCCTGTGCTGAAGTCTAAACCCTGGACTGTGCTGATGTCTAAACCCTGGACTGTGCTGAAGTCTAAACCCTAGACTGTGCTGAAGTCTAAAGCCTGGACTGTGCTGAAGTCTAAACCCTAGACTGTGCTTAATTCTAAATCCTAGACTGTGCTGATGTCTAAACCCTGGACTGTGCTGAAGTCTAAACCCTGAACCAAACTGTAACAGTAAACAAAATCAGTTGTCTCTTGTCTCCTTCTCATTACCTTACTTTCAAATAAAATTTTCATTGTTCCATTTTACACTGCGCGTCTCTCCTTCTCTTAGCATTACCAAACATTAAAACAGCATTTTAAGCATTTTTTTTTCAGTAATTATAAACATTTTTGGTCCCTACACATTTTTTTATTGCCTTACCCTACTCCATGAAGGTTCTAGAATTTAGATTTCTATGGCTGAGTTGGACTTTTGTCTTCTCAGTGACAAGAATGGAAAATTTTAGTTCATCGGTAGAATAATGTTGTTTTTTTAAACGAAGGCTCATTGCAATTCAAAAATATTTTTAAGTACAGGGTAGACACAAGTTATTTTTGTAATGTCCTTTTTGGTTTTTCAAATTGTTATTTATGTCCTGGCAATTATTAAACAAAAATGTTTCCAGCAGTACCAACTATAGATGAATACTGTTAACTCCAACAAGGAATGACAAGCATCGACCACCATCAACTGCAACAAGGTATGGCCAGTCACTGACCGCCTTTAACCCAAAGGATGGTAATGGTATGGCCACTTTTGAGGTTTTATAATTATGCTAAACAAGTTTTATTAATAATTTTTTAGTTTGAATAACAATGTGACTAACTTTTTTTTTTAAACTTAAAAAAATATTGAATTGATGTTCTAAGCATAGGATAATACTATACTACTTAGAATAATTCTATGAAGTAATACCTCGATACTTTGCATTTCCTCATTGCATTGTGTGGTTTTCTCCTGAGTTACGTTCTGTGGATATTTTGCTGTTTTGCTGGATTTTTGGAGTTTATAGTATAACTATTTTTATGTATTAATTATGCTTAATATTTTGCGGTAAAATAAGCATTTTCTAGCTTTAAAATTGCAAATAATATAAATAGAATTTAATTAGCAGAAGTCCAAAACCAGAGAGACAAGATTATCATTGGAGGATGTCTGAGTGACTTGGTGGAGAGATAGTTAAGATGATCATTGGAAGATGTCTGGGTGACTTGGTGGAAAGATAGTTAAGAGGATCATTGGAAGATGTCTGGGTGACTTGGTGGAGAGATAGTTAAGATGATCATTGGAAGATGTCTGGGTGACTTGGTGGAGAGATAGTTAAGATGATCATTGGAAGATGTCTGGGTGACTTGGTTGAGAGATAGTTAAGATGATCATTGGAAGATGTCTGGATGATTTGGTGGAGAGATAGTTAAGATGATCATTGGAAGATGTCTGGGTGAATTGGTGAAGAGGGACAAGATAATAATTTAAAGATTTCTGGGTTAATTGGTGGAGAGATAGTTAAGATGATCATTGGAAGATGTCTGGGTGACTTGGTGGAGAGATAGTTAAGATGATAATTGGAAAATGTCTGGGTGACTTGGTGGAGAGATAGATGAAATGATCATTGGAAGATGTCTGGGTGACTTGGTGGAGAGATAGTTGAAATGATCATTGGAAGATGTCGGGGTGAATTGATAAATCTTTGAGTCAAGATTTCGATGAGACCAAATTATAGCATTAATAAATATAATATCAATTGTTGCATGTTTGCTATGTATGTTCCTTGCAATGATGACATTGTAGTAGCTGTACATGCTTAATTTAAATTTTGATACCTCACAAATACTGTGCATATATTTCTCTCTCTCACTAAAAAAGTTTACAATCTCGCCCTTTCATTATTTTTATTCAAATGCTTTTAATGACTAAACTCACAATTCTTATACAGAAAGAAAAGTATAGTGTTTCACACTTGAGTGATTTACATCAGCCAGTTTTATGCACGAACAACTATTTCTCTTATTTTACCACCAACATCGAATCCCTCTATCATATTTATACCATTGACAGTTGGCTATCACCAAGAAAAATCAATTGCTTTATATTCGTATAACATTAGCTCTGTTAACTATGGCATTATAAAAGGCCTAGATTCCTCTACTGGTATGAGTTTAAAATGTTATTTCCTTATAAGAGGCCTAGATTCCACTGTGTTGGTGTAAGTTTTACTTTAAATAAATCTTCTAATTATTGTGGTATTTATTACAAAATGCTGGGAAACTTTTGAAACATTTAAATGTAATATTTTAATTGGCTAATTTGGTTTATTAATCAATGGATGTATCTTATATAAAATAATGTATCTACTTAGGGAAAGGTCCTTCAAGACATTTCAATGAATTTATTTGATTGATTCATGTCAGTATCCGTTTGAAAAATTTGCTAAATAAGTCGTATGTTATGCATTTGTAACTGATAGTCTAATTGTATGCAGAAGATTAAGTTGCTACAACAGATATCTGTAGGTTAAATAACATTTTCGATTGTATGTGTGCTATACCATTAATCACATGGAATGTTATGAGACTGTGGCCATTATGTTATTGTTATTTGTACATTTTGAATATTAAGGGGGCCATTTGTACTTCTTTTCCCAGGACGGTACCGGTTTTAGGA